AAATTAATTCAAAAAATATTAATCACAACCATTTTCAATAATAGATATAATACTATATAATACAACAATTTAAAATTTAAAATTTTTTCTATTTTTATGAAAAATAACTTTTTAAATGAACGATAGATTCATTTATTTATTTAATAATAGTAAAATAATTCGGAAATTGAAATTTTAATTAATATTTCGTTGAACAATAATTTTTGTGACATTTTTGTAAATTAAAAAAAATTCAGTAGGTATAAAAGATGCATTTTTTCTGGGGTTCAGGGCTATTCTACGAAGTCGTAAATATGCCCATTGTTATTTTTTCGTCCAGCTACCCCAGTTTAAAATAAAATAAGTTTCTACAATTAATAGAAGCCGAGATATTGCAAAATTTATAGCGCGCATTAATTTGAACTTTGGATTTCATTTTTATCGCGCGCGCGACTCGCTTGGACGAGTTTCCCCCACCACCACGCCGCCGGCCACCAGACAGTTTACTTAGTGAGTACCTTCTCTTTAAAGGGCTCGCGAGTCGTTAATTTTCCACATTTTTCAATGCAATTCACGGGAAATCGTAGTTTACGTCGTAAACTTTATTTTGCGGAAAATTCAAGTCTTAATGTTTATAAACAATTGCGCTACGATTTAAAAAAAAATTATTATCTTGGCACCTGTTGGTCGTAGAGGGTACTTTTTTATTTTAAAACTGTATTTTTTTGCCAGCTATCCATTGCATCTATTTTCGGTGAGGTAGCATAAATAGCAACAATTTTATTCAAGTTGTTTATAAGCGATGAACGCGCGGTTTTTAATGCACAATTTGAGAATGTTAAATGTCAAAAAAACGGTGATATTTTTTAATAGGTCGCTCAATTACGTCTTTAAGATTACAATGACGCTTTCAGAATCATGTTTGGTTGAAAATTAACGCCTGTACAGAGGCTTAAAGTTCATAACTTTTGGAGCCTCCTCTATAAACAAATTAAATTGTGCGAAAACTATTGCACCTACAGCGCCCACTTTTGGCACACTTTTGATGTATGACAAAACCCTCAACTTGTCATAGGTTTTATACAATTTTAACAATAAATGCGATAGTTATAAACAAATTAAAAAATGGGCACTTTTCTTGTTTTTTGCAATAACTTTTTTGTTTATTAACAGATTTTAATTTAACATGTCTCATTTTGTAGATAATTTTACTACATGCTGTCTGTGAGTAACTTTTCGCTAAAATTTGATGGTTTTCCCTGCAAAGTGAAAAAACTGTTTTCCTCACTTTTGTTTAAATAGAAAAGTTATCTAATAAAAGTTTTTGACTCACGAGATGAGAGATGTCTTGTATTATGTTCCTTTAGACAATTTTACAATAATCGCGCGGATAGGACTTTTTCAAGTAAAAATTTTATTTGCTTGGCCCATTGCTTAATTATTTGAAAAACCGCAAATAAAATAATTGTGATCTATTTTCTAGTCGATAAGGGTCATTTTAGCCCTTTACAGCCTCAGTATTTTCGTGATTTTTTTTTTCAAGGATACACTTAAAAAAATTATTCCAAAAAAATTTATTACAAATAAATACAAGTGCCGTTAATTTTACGAATTTCGTGACATCCTGTACATCAATTGACGACCATTTGTTCCTTCAGGCATGCATTATTTCTCTCCCGTCGACAAAATGCAGCTACTAGAAATCATCACGACCGACAAGACGAGCAAAGAAACTACGGCCTTAGCGGTGGACGTCGGTTTGAAACAAGGCAAAGTCGTGATTACCGTCGGCGACGGTCCTGGATTCTACACCACTAGAATCCTGTCTGCCATGATGGCTGAATCCGTAAGACTGCTACAAGAGGGCGTAGAGCCAAAAGACTTAGATGGCCTTACGAAGAAGTTCGGATTTCCCGTTGGGGCCGCTACGCTGGCCGATGAGGTGGGCTTGGACGTAGCTTCGCATATCGGACCCGATCTTTCAAAGGTAAGAGAAGAATGCGGTTCGCTTTGTAAAATTTTCACTTTCGCTGGAGAGTCTGTGTAAAATAAAAATAAATGTAATATTTCAGGCGTTCGGCGAACGATTCGGCGGCGGCGACTTAGGAGTGATGCGGGACATAGTCCAGGCGGGCTTCCTTGGCCGCAAATCCGGGAAGGGCATCTACGTTTACGAGAAGGGAAGAAAGAGCCGCGACGTAAACGCAGAGGCCCTGGAAATAATCAAGAAATACTCGATAGAGCCGAAGGGTTCGGTCGAGGACGAAGATAGGACCTTGAGGATGGTATCGAGGTTCGTCAACGAGGCGGTCTTGTGCTTGGAAGAGAAAATCCTAGCGAACCCCTTGGAGGGCGACGTAGGAGCAGTGTTCGGGCTCGGTTTCCCTCCGTTCACCGGCGGACCGTTCAGATGGGTGGATCAGTACGGGGCGGCCAAGCTGGTCGCTAAGATGGAACAGTATCAGGGTTCGTACGGTTTACCTTTCAAGGCCGCCCAGACGCTTTTGGATATGGCCAAGGATGCCAGCAAGAAGTTCTATCCTAAGTAGACCGTTTCTGTATCGTGTGCCTTTTTGTATACTGCGTTTTTGTTTCTTGTTTCAGTTACGTATATTTATAAGGATACTTTTATACTATTGTGCTATTCGAGCCTTTGTAATATTCTATTTTATTAATAAACTGTATTGTACTAGTTGAGGGTTGTTTTTATTATGTTAATATTGAAGATATTTAAAAATAAAAATTTAAACGTCGACGATTATAGAAATTGATTTTTTCCTCGAAAATTAACTTATCGTCCAGAAAAATAACAAGAAATGAAAATGTTATGAGGGGTTCTACAGCAAATAGGCAACCGGCAATACATTTTTATAGTTTTTTTTACACAGTTTGTGTAAATATGAATCAATGCACAAATAACCGACTTTCCCCCATTCTAGCGCAGATTTTCTATATAATGGACTTAGTTTCGAACTCGAATTACTTTTTGGTGTAAAGAAATTTGAAATTTAAGGTGCCGCTTATTCGAAAGTGGCAAATCTTATCTAGTAGGCGGCTGTCACGTTGACATTTTGTAATGGCAACTTAATTGTTATAATTAAGGCAACTTAATTTTATTAAATATCTGAAAAAACTAGTTATTATAACATATTAAAAAGTGATAGAAATTATATTAAATGTTGAAAACGATCACAGTGTATCAGCAAACAACAATAACTATAACCTTACTAACAACGAATTAAGTTGCCAATACGAAATGCCAACTTGACAGCTGCCTACTAGATATATTATAGTTCGATAAAATTGTACCCTTTGCCAATCATGCCATGTAATTGATTTGAAATAATTTTTTTGCTTAGAAATGGTTAATTTTACAAAAAAATTACAAGCGACCTTTTTTAGAATGAAATGAATTTTTCGCGTTTTCTACCCTTTACAACCGTAGCGGAACATCAACAAATTGTTTACCGAGTGCCATATACCTAAATAGAAAATGTCTACTTAATTTCATTTCTGTAGCTTGTTTGGTATCAGAAAAAAATTGAAACCTATACTTTTTTGGCACCTTCTTTAAGCGGTTGTATCTTGACAGGTGATGTCTAATGAGTTTTTTTTTTATATGAAAGACCCACCTTATTTTTCCACCTTCTGAATTTTTTCGCACTTATCTATTTACACCCTGTAAATTTTTAAAAGATCCCTGTCCAAGAACGAGATTTTAAAATTGACTTGTATCTGTTTTCCGGCCACCGATTCTTTTAACCTATACATTTAACGATATCCAATCCAGTTAAATTTAATGTTTAATCTCGTCAGTTTAAACACCATTTAATCGTAGGATCACCTAAACCAGGCAAAACATAATAAAATATATTTCTTTACTTTCTAAATAGCCTTACCAACACTTTTTGTACAAAAAATCGAGTTGTTTCAACTCAAAAATGTAATTAATTTGTTTTCTTCTAATCTATTTACAATTAGATTTAGAACAATATAAAATGTAGGTTAGACATATAAATAATGAATAATGTACTTACCTATTTAGTCTTCGTAATTTTATACTAAAATAATTCGTAATTTGTTTTTTTCCCTAAATTATAAGTGGGTTTTCTATTTAATGCGACTTGAGGTTTACCAGATTATCTACCACTTTCTTCGAAAAATTGTAAATCCTTCCCCTCCTCTCCATACTAATAGATGTGAATGAATACGAAAATTAGTTTATTAAAAAAACACAATTCATATCTATAGTCATATTCTTATTATGCACTACTTTTGACACTTCGCTTTAAAATGTAATTGTTTATAAAAGTTTAATGTTCATACTTAATTATCATGTTATATTAATAATTTAATTCCTACAAGGGAACTAAGGGAAGCTACTACTTGATGAAACAATTCTAAGGAAAATGTGTAAACAAAAAGATCTGTTTGTAGCAGCTGTTTTTTATGTGTTGATCTTTGTCAAAGGTGATGTGATGACTGATGAGAGAACAACAAAAATACAACATTCTTCTTTGAATTATTACATTATTTATTTCAATACATAAAGTTTGTTTTTTTGTATTAATTAGATTTAGATATATTAATTTTACTTCTTATTTTGTATAATTTTTTATCACTAATTGTTTATTGGTTATTGTGGATATTATTAGTTGTTTACTAGATTCTGCTGAGTTGTGGTAAGGTAGGTACCTACTTACTTAGATTTCCGGTATGGAAGAACATTTTTATTTAATTTGATAGATTTTAGAAAAAAATGTTTAAATTCGTTTACATTTGAAATAGAGTAAAAAACTGAAAATGTAAAACGACTATTATGATTTCCGAGATCGCAATATCCCCAGTAAACACGAAACGTAAATGAAACGTTGCAAATGAGCTGTTTTACTACACGTTTGAAACAATAACTAGAAACGTTGCTGTTTCATTACAGAAATGTAGCACTTGAAAACTTACTTAGTGAAACATAGCCGAAACATTCCAATTGAAGAGAGTTTGAAACATTACTCGAAACATTCCCTTTCGATCTCGGAAACGTAACATCGACAAACAAACAACCCTTTGCTTTTATTTATCTTATGGAGCTTTCGGCATTACTTAAATTTTGCTCTCAAGCCCCATCATTATAGCAAGCGTTAGTTCATTTGCCTTTGTTATATGTACAACCAGACATAAACAGAAAAAAAATTGTGGTAGCGCGCGCCATTATTCTATGGCTAGAAATTGGCCTCAATGATTTGGGATCGAGGGGGATTATCCCTCTTTATCCTGCCTCATCTCGTGTAGGCCTGGACAGCCTTCGTAGGTGGGCCCCATCCGTCGTCTACCCCGACCGCAAATGCGGCCGGTGTAGGCGCTTTGTGGGACCTCCTTTTGTCCTGGCTGGGCCCCGCCGGCTAGGGCCCTTTCTTCTGGCGCTCTTCTTGCTTCGCCGGCTCGTCTGTGTAAACCCCGGGGGTAGTGTCATGTTTATGTGTGGTATGGTTGGGTAGGGTAGTGCGGCTATGCAGCCTGGGATGCGCTTTGCTAAGG